TCTCCAATCAATCAGCCTCACTTAAATAACCTGATGAAGTAAAAGGATACATTCCTATAATTTTGGAGGACATTGATGTTTTAGCAGCATTAATTAGGCATTCCCTGCCCAATTCATCTGTGTTAATAATGAGATTTTCATTGATGTAGCGAACTGCTTCCCTGTAGGATAAAGACAAACACTGGTAAAGAACTCCACCCACACAAAGACCAAAATCTTACATGTTTTCAGCCCTTTTAATGTTATCTCAAAGAACACAGGGATGAAATCAATATATCCTCTAGGACAGTAAAGTGACATTTTTATGTGAGACTATAGAAATTTAAAATAAATAAATAAAATGCCAAACCAACACGAGAAGCCGAAAATACACCCCCAAACCAAAATGCCCCCAAACCAAACTGCTGTATCCACTCTGCACCAAGAAGTCTGTATTAATGCAGTCACAAATACAGAAATAAACAAAAAGCATGCAGTTATTGTACCTTAAAAAATGCAACTTCAACTGTATTAGTTTCTTACTTGCAAGCAAGTCGGTATCCACCAATAATGGAGGTAGGATGAATTTTCTGTTTCACTAGCTCATCTGCATTTTTTAGAAGTTCTGCAGCAATAATTACCTGTTTGAAATACAAACACTAAATACACGTATTCCATACAAGCAAAATAACCACCTGGTGCCACTAAGTGGAAAGTAGAATCACAAATAGTTGTCCAATGTCTACTCAGTGGAAACAAGTACTTGCAACCAGGAATTATAAATAGTATCTGACATCAGGTAAAAGCCACCTGTTTCTAGCCCCTTTCCCCCTGTTGTCAAAAGTCTCAGGCAAATTTTCAACACGCAGCATCCTTATTAGTCCTAACAGTTTAATTTCTCATGGTTATTAAAAATTAAGAACTTTCCTTTCGAATCTATCCTCAACCTTCAAGAAAGGAAAAAATACATGATGAAACTGCAGTAAGCAAATCCCATTCCAGAGCACCAGCTGTGTATGGAAACTAGCATCTCTAAAAAACCACAAATCAAATTGCTTTATTCTGTAAGCTCCTTTAAAAAGCTATTTATATTCAGCCAACTGCAAGGTTTTTCGTTCTGTAAAGTTGATCCACATTGCATCAAGATTCGTAACAGATAAATCAAAAGCTGCACTGTGATAACAAAACACCAACTTTTGGTGTATCTGCCTGTAAAACTTTCTACGTACCACTGAGGTTGTCCCGTCGCCAACTTCTTTGTCTTGCAAGTCTGCCAGCTCACAAAGAACTTTTGCAGCAGGGTGTTCCACTTCTAGCAGTTTCAGAATGGTTGCACCATCATTAGTAATGGTCACATCCTAATTTTCAGAAATCAAATGTTAATATGAGATATATTTCTATTATATTTTTACTGTTGTGCTTCGTAATGTTTGTGCAAATGAAAGTTAATTATTCTTTGTGAATGTCCATAAAATAACTATTTATACCAAATGTTTACTGCTTCTTTTTAACCAGGAGTCCCCATTCTAACAGAAATGTTTACCACTTTCTTTTTATCAGAGATGTTTTTTTTGTTACAGAAGCTTGTCAAATGTTTTGCACATACTGGATTAGCAGCAGTGTGGTGACCACCCTCTAATACAGTATTTTATTACAGCAGCCTGTAAAATGGCAAACTTTCCTCATTTGCTCGAAATATTTTAAAATAGGAAATACTGCTTTAAAATTGTTATCGGATTATTTGAATTCTTCTTGTGTTACTTCTGCTAACGTGGGACCAGGATATGTAAGTCATCACCATCACAAGGCCTAACTTTATGGTGATATTCCTGTGAACTTGACCAATACTTGCAAGTGGTCACAGGAACTTACATGTAGAAAGGAGACAACAGTGCCACATCAACTACGGTACTAGATTAAACTAAAATGATGTAGCATACATTACCTGATGCCCAATTTTATCACAGCTTTCATCCTACCCCTCAAAACCATGAAAAAAACCCCAGGTATGCGCATCCTATGAAGCACACGAAGTGGAAGCACTTTTACACAGTAATACCAGTCCTCCTGACACTTCTTTAAGAAAGCTTACCCCAATATCATCCACCAACATCTTATCCAGACCAACTGGCCCAAGAGAACTCTTCACAATGTTGGCAATAGCGGATGCAGCAGTAACTGAATAAATGAAAGAAAAAAGAAGAAAAGTTTTAGCTTTACAACTTCAGGATGATTCAGGTTTACAAGAAAATGTGCCAAGAACCTCCGATTCAGAAACTCGAGATAAAGCGACCTGATTTAGGACTAGATTTCAGCCTAACTAAGCTAGTAATGGCTTGCTGCTATAAAAAATCCAATCTGTGCCAAACCTCACTCTTCTCTCCAAGCTGGTTCAGCTAACTAACCTGGCAAAACTAACAGAGCACAAAAAGAATAATTTTCTGCTGGCTTGGTAAGATGGTGGACACACCACTGAGGTCAGAAGAGCAGTGGTGGTAGCTAGCAGAGGTTGGTAGCACTGTTTCTTTCCACAGCAGCAAGTCACACCATGAAACTTCACTCTCATCTACTTCTCAGTTCTAGGTGGATATAGAACAACGGTATCACCATATATCAATTAGTAACACATCTTTTTGCCCCACTTACATCTGTGACTGAAACAAAACATTTGTTCTGTAACTAAGAAAGTAAAAAGTGACCTTTTAGTCACTACTAAAGTAACAGGAAACCTCTAACATAGTGGCTTGTTTAAAGGATGTTCTGCCAACTTCATATAGGAAAAAGATACAATCAACCTTTTCCTTCAGACCGTGGCAAGTTTTTCTCTATCCCACAAGCATAGCCACTTAATCTGGAAATTGAAAAAGCGGTAGTAGAATGGGAATAACGAAAAGTCAGACTTTCGCTCTCAACTTCAAACGATGTAACATTTTTTGTTCTGGACGAATAACGGCAGCTTTCTGAAAGAAATAACCGTTGTATCAAAGTTGCCCTTATCAAGTATGTCACAGCCACAGATTAAGGTAATTCTCATTCAACTGTTCTGCCTAAAGTATCGAACTGCAAGACTCTCATGATCATCAGGAAGCAAGTCTTCAGCATCTTCCTTTGTCTTTTACCTACTCAGAAATTAAGAACACTCTAGAAATTCGCAGCCTCCCCCCCCCCAAACCAACCAAGACTTGGGATAAAATCCAGAGAAATATGGGACGTTTCCGAGCACTCCAATTAAAAGACCCTCATCTTGAGAACGGTTCCCGCTCTCCGAGGCATATTATTTCCCTGTGCCGGGGAAGCAGCAAGCTTCCCCAACCGCCTCTTCCCCACCAGGGCGCACCCATCGGCCAGCCTGCAGCCTTTGCCGGCTCACGCCCTACGAGCTCGGAGAGAAACCCAGCCCATCTCCGGTAAGCAA